AAAAATATATAATTTTTTTTTGTTTGAAAATTAAAGGGAATGAAGAGAGGCTCAGATCTGTAACAAAATGAGGCAAATGCGGCCAGCGACGCCGCCATGGCTGCAAAATCACACAGTTGCATATGGGGAGAGAAAGACAAAAGTACCCCCGTCTCTCTACCCCCAACACACGCCATCTGGTTTTTGCCCTGCCAAGCTACGGGTCGGGTCACAAATTGCCCGATTCTCCTGCTTCTCAACAAAAAAAATATCATCACAGCCTTCAATAAGGGTTTACATAGGAGGAGGAGGTGGTAAATAAGCTTATCCAAACACGCCCTTAAGTACAGTCCCACATCGTGGAACACGAAATGGAGGGAGATACATATATGTGTTCACACATACATACATATATATATACATACACACACACATACATATACTCTCTCACAAGAGAGTGAAATTGAGGGCTGTTTGTTTAGAGAGGGAATCGAAAATCACTGGCGAATCAGAGAGAGGTCAACCACCCTTGAGAAATCCCTTTCTCTGGTAGCCTCATTCTTGAGCAGGAGAATGTTGAATCTCGAGTTATTTTTCCTTTTGGGTCTTTTTAAAGGGATGGAGGAGGTCCAAAATCCAGTTTTTTAGGGCATATGCAAAACTTGGAAATACAAGTATAGAAAAAAATATTGTTTTCGTCTATCGAGTTTGCATCGATTTCACATTTGGTTCTCCATGTTCATAAGAAGCACATTTGGTCCCTCATCTTTCAAAATTTCAACAGTTCTAGTCATTTCCGTCAAATTTCTGTTAGCATTGACGGAATCAAGCGTGTGTCTTTCACTTTGCTTAACTGTCGGACTAACAACGGTAAATTGACGGAAAAGACAAAAAATGTAAAATTATTTAAACATAAGCACCAAATGTGTTTTATGTTAACATAGGGGACCAAATGTGAAATCACTTCAAACAAGAGGTATGAACATTGTAAATTTTCTTATAAGTATATCTAAGTGTCGACTTTTATATCAAAACCGGACCGAAATGTTTCTATTTAGTTAACGGTAATGGTAGATTACTGTACAGAACTCGAATAATCTTGTAGGACAATTGTACCCAATATTATTATTAGGTAAATTACAACCACACCCCTTGAGGTATGATCAATTTACAAAAAAAAAAATATCATGATTGGATAATTATAACCACCCTTGTTTTTACACGTCCACCCTCGCGGTGTGAAATTTACTGGAATATTCTAGCTAATATGGAATATTCTCAATTTTGTACCCGTTTATCCCATTCGAGTTCCACATTTTGAAGCAAGATGATCATAAAATGTGTTTTTTGGCTTGTATATATCAGAGTATGGTGCGTCAGAAATTGCATTTATGCACAAAACATGAGTACAAACTATAGAGCATTCCACGGAATCTAGAAGATTATGTTCAATTTGACACAATAAGAGTGCGCGTGTAAGAAGATTCATAGTTGATGGGTAGTTGTAATTATCCAAATATGAGGGGATTTTCGTAATTTGACAATACCTTAGAGTGCGGGTATAATTTACCCTTATTATTATGGTCTTGTCCTATCGTGAAATATTATTAATAAATAAAATTATATTTTTAGCATTAATTTATTTTATATAAAGAGAAGATAGTATAACTATTATTAGTTGAAATTAGTTGTAATTTTGAATTGTGCCAAAAGCATCTTGAATATATTAGTTATTATAATAGCTTATATTGAATTGTGCCGTGTGTTGGAAAAGTTCAAAACAAGGCACGACGGCTGATTCCACCACCGAGGTTGAATATATTGCAGCATTAGATGCTTCAAAGGAAGGGTTATGGATTAGGAAATTCATCCAAGAGTTGGGTGTATTTCCGAACGCTAGCAATCCAGTACAGCTGTACTGCGATAACAACGGAGCCATAGCGCAAGCTAAGGAACCAAGAGCTCATCAGAAGTCGAAGCACGTGTTGAGAAAATACCATGTGATTCGAGAGATCATAGAGAGATGTGAAGTCAAAATAGACAGAGTCACCTCGGAGGACAATATTGCAGATCCCTTCACCAAGCCATTGTCAGGATCAGTCCACGAGAAACATCGAGAGTCGATGGGACTTAGATTTATGAGTAGTTGGCTTTAGGTCAAGTGGGAGATTGATAGAGTAGGTGACCAACAAGCCAACTTGTGGTTGTGGTCTTTCTTTTTATCTTGTAATAAAACAATCGTTTTTCGTTCGTAATAATAAAATATTTCATTTGGCATTCTATATCTCTTATCCCATGCAAGTAGCATAGATATAGTCCTAACGAGTTACTCTATTACTGTGAGTTGATCTAGTAGAATCATGAGATAACTCAGCAATGTAATGTAACTGTTAAACCTTGTTCCTAGTCGATGGGTTACGCCAATAATGAGGATACCGGCCTTTCCCTTTTGAGACTAGCACTTAGTGTATGTGTACTGCGTCTCATCAGTCCTCGGTGTTGTGACATCGGCATACTTGAGTGGGTGCTCATACTAGATGAGTTCACTGAACTCCCTCGCCCTAAAAATCTATAAGTGGTTCTCATTCATCGAGTAATAGGTTTCTAAGATATAGTTGTACACGATTAGTCCTTAAGACCCAGACATCACCGTGACTTCACTAGAGGACCGATTGTATCGTGACCTGTCCATGAGTCCCACAGCGGACCACTCCAAGGGCCAACGTTCGTACAATCCGAAATCTAGTGTGAAGTTTGTGCATTGTAGTAGGGGATTCGAGCGCTTGAGTAGTCATGGATGTCCTGTGTGTTCTAACGGTTTATAATCCAAGAAATCTCTGGCCAGAGTTGATAGTGGGGTGATTAGGGAAATGTGTTTCACTAAGTCACACACGAACGGATTTATAATACCTAGAACGTTCGCACGGTTATTGAACTTTATAAGAGGTCTCGGTGAACCAATGCCTCTAGTTCAATAGGGACATGTGTTGCGAAGGGATCGTACTGTACGCTAACTATATCATAAGGTTCTTGCAGGCACTTCACTTGTATCTAGGGAATCATGATGCGTAGTTGCTAGACGCCAATCTTGATTCGTTGGGCACCGATTTGATCGGCGATTAAGTAAAATGAGTTTTACTATAATCGGGACTCTTGGGAGGAGTTCGTATAAGAACAATGTGTTGTTCGAATCACAAAGAGTTGTGAGCCCACGGCTAGCATACACCTGAATCATTGAGGGTCACACTTCTCGTGTAATACGGATCCTTGATAACAATGAGCATAGGTTAGTATGTTAATCTTTCCAAAGTTGGAGGTCAATATGATTGAGTCCAAGATTCGTGATTGTGGATTACGAGTCGGAATAAACGTAGAGAAAGAGACATGCGGAATTTAGTGAACTTTCTAAATTTGGAAGTTTCCCGATTTTAACAGGTCCACTGAAGTGGAAGTTTCCATTTTTGGAAATTGGAAATTTCGAAGAGGCACTCGTATCGACGAGGACTTTAAGCTCGTCACAAATATAATTTTGTTACAATTTTGTGAACGATCGTTTGCTAGAAATGAGGCCGACGAGGGAATGGGCTTAATGCATCAGTGGGTCAAGCCCAATGACTTATGCCCACAAGGGTTGAGAACCCTAGTATAAATAGACCTCAAACAAGAGTTTGAGTGAAGAGATTTTTTTTTACTCCCACAACCCTAGCCGTCCAGCCCTAGCCGCCCAAGCCTCTCGGCCGCTGCTGCCCCGCCGCACCGGCGCCGTTCGCCGCCGAAAACCGCTGGTTTTCTCTTATTTTTCTCTCGTATTTCCCTTGTTATCTAACCCCTTTGTATCTAGTGCTACAGTAGGGGGAGATCGGTTTATTCGAGGTGAAACCTGATTGGAGAGGAGCTGCAGCCCCGAAGACATCGCTGCACCGCCCCACGCGCCGCTGCATCGCCCACGCGCCGCCGCCGCTGATTCGCACGCGCCGCCGTCGCCTCACCGTCGGACCAGCTGCCGTTTGGTGGTATTCCTGCAGCCCCTAGGAGTGGTATAACGCAGCTTGTACGGGTTTGAGTTCGGATTTCGATTCGTCGAAATCTCACGCTACAAGAGGTAATTAAATCGGAACTTTCGTAAATTTGATTCGAACATGTTTATGTGAATTTTAATTTACGAGCATGAGTAATATGTGATTACGTGTTTCAATTTTTGCAATATGATGAACAAGCATGTTTTATATTTTTCGGTTTTACATGTTTTAATAAAATCGATAATTACCATGTGTATGGCAAAAGCGTTAAGGTACGTTGACTATGTGATTAGTTCATGCATGTAATCGAAACTAGTTCGATCTAAAAATTTTAAATTCCGATGCGTACACGATCCCCAACATCCACTTCTATACCAAATGAGTTGGTAGTTCTCACTAATAACCCCTATACTTTACTAGTACTCATATATGATATATTCACTAATATAGTTATTGTTATTTTCAGAGTTATTATTTTATAAAATCTTAAAACTAATTCACACAATCACATTTCAGTTAACTACTAAAATATAATTCTTTTTGACTAATTTACCTAAAATATATCTTTTACTCAAACAAATAAGTTGAGGTCCTATCTGTTACTGAAAATCAATTTTTAGACGAACTCATTTTCCTTCACCACCAAATGTAGCTAACTAATTAAGAAATATTGTCCCGCAAGGATGATCTAATGGTGGGAGTAAGTGAGCATGTGTTAACTGACCAAAATTCGAATCATCTGTCAACGGTCGAGCTTGTCACATATAATTAGCCTAGTGTGGTTTACGTTTCTCGTATGGTTTGCAAGTTATTATATGAAAGTGAAGGTTCACCCAGTGCATCTATATAATTGGCTGTAGGTTCCTTCATTAGAAAAAAATAATAGTTAAGAAATACAAAAAAATAACACACACATAAATCGAATAAATGCGCATGAAAAGCCCCAAATTTCAGCTTCCGCCAAAGGAGTATTGAGCCGTTCCGATGTTTTGAAGCTAGTGATCAACCTGCATTTCTGTCCACCATTTGAACTCCTTCCTCCGGGAGAAATTCGCGGTCTCTTTCGTCAAAAATCTCCCAAATTCCGCACACTTTTTCCCAACCACTTGTTCTCGAATCACCGTAAATCTTCCTCACTTCAACCCTTTTACTATACATCAAGTACACTATAAATACCACAACACACGTCCCCGTGACCGCACCCGTTACCCCAAACAATATTTTGAAACTTTTTAAGCCTATGTTGGTCCACCCCACCTGAGACGTATCACTGTCGGTACACCCGGATTGTTTGATCCAACGCGTCTTTATTTCCGATATCATATGATTATCCGTCAGTTTAGTGACAGCACTCGACACATCCCCAACCAACGGCGACCCTTTCGGGAAACCAAAGCCGACCCCCTCCGTAAGAAACGGGGAACCCACTTTCATGTACTTGTTACAGTACTTGGACAAGAAGAGATCCGCGTAAGGTGTTCGAGAAAACATTGCGGTTATCCCGCCTTTCCCACTTCCATTCAACAACGCGTTATCGAATTCCTCTGGAAGTTTGTATACTCTGATCCTGGACTCGTGGAATCCAAGCCTTTTCAAGAACTCCACAAGGAAAGTGCCCTCACGGCACCCCACGTAATCTCCGTTTCTGATGAGATTATTTATATCCGTATCGCCTTGTTGAAGCTTGAATATCGTTAGTCTTGCTGAAAGACTCGCTGTGTAAGTCGAGACCAATACAAGCACGACGAATATCCACACAGTTACAACGAGTCGAGCTAAATTCGTCACCATTTTTTCCCCTACAAACACATTTAATTATCTAAAAATGGTACCAGTATTATAATTTAAAAAAGAAAGAATTATAATTACTCACGGTGCGCGAATACTATCGACATGAAAGGGATGTAGAAAATTAAGCCGAGGTATCCTGCGGGTCGGCCTCTAAATTCTTCATTGAACTTATGTTCGAGAATCCAGAGAGCCAATCCAGTGAAAACGAAGAGGGATAAGATAGTTAACCATAGTTCCCATTTGAGGGGCCTCAAGAAGAACCATTTATCACTCGGATCGTCGTCGTATTGGATTTTCTGTGTCCTCGTAACCCCACCGTCTTCTATCGGAAGAGTGAACACGACGTATTCTGATCTCGTGGTTGTGATCGTTATATCTCCAACAACAACGTCGTAGTTCTACAATGTCGAAAACATCAATGTAAGTATACTTATTACGTTCGCACAACACTACAAGAAAAAGTTGCATTAGTGACACCCCAATTGTGACAAATGCTAAAGTTGTCACTTAATGCATATATTAAGTGACAATTTTTATTTTGTTACTAATAATGCTTTTTGTTGTCACTTAATATTTATTTATTTATTGTCAGTATAGCTCGATACCCCATTAGTGACTAACACAGTGACAACACTTTTTACTTAACTAAGTGAAAAATAGGCGTTGTCACTCGAGATTCTTTTTTTGTAGTGCAAATTCGAGTTATTATTACTTACCCCGATAGAAACCTGGTATGATAAATCATCGTAACTCCCAGCACACGAGCCGTCAGATTTTACAAACGGGACGAACTCGTATCGCACTGCATAAGGTAGTGCTGACATGATTGTGTCGAACAAATCTATGTACAATCCACTTATTTTAGTACTGTTTGTTTGAGGATCCATTTCCACTTTTACGAATTCCGGAAAACCGGCGTTTATTGGTACCCCAACTCTAAGCTTTTTACCGCTTACAGGAACCTCCCATCCCTTTGGTACGTTTCTCGATTCTCCGGGCCATATAATATTCTCCAATTTCTCACCTACAAAACCCGTCATGTTCGCATTCGTTTGACTTGACGAGTTTTGCAATAGTGGTGTCCATATTCCAACTTGCTTCAGCTCCTCTCCATTTACGTTCAATACTTGAAAAGATGACGGCTGCAGTTGCCCATTAATCAATTGAAAATTCCCGGCGAGACCTTCAAATTTAGTATCCAACATTGTTGCTAGAATTATTGGACCTGTCAACGACGTTTCAGTAATAAACATGTTAGTATAGTTAAGAGCGGTTGCGTTTTGCAAAGAAATTGGTTGTTCCCGAACTCCGGTTTTATCGACAGCCGTAGCCAATCCCCACAAAGCATCGTATGCCCACAAGGCGTAGAGGTTCATCTCTGGCGGTGGAGAAACTCCGGCATTGTCATCTGCAAACTTCTTCGTCCACCTTGCGGTGGTGGAATTGAGTCTACTCGATCTTGGAACGAGAGGTCGTACTCCAACAACTCCTTGCATAGACTCTACGACTTTCGAATCCAACGAATAAAACAACTCCATGATCCCGGTGGTTACGATCCACACATAGCCCTCACTCATCATTTCTGCTTCCTTTGCTTTCAAGAATATTCTAGAAGCAAGAGCGCTCGAAGTATGGACCACAAACACCCTCGTCTGCATAGTTTTCATCTTGTACATCTCTTGAAGAATGAAATCATTAGTTGTCGAGATAGGAATCACGCTTCTGTATGAAACTCGAGCATTTACTTGTTGGAATGCATTCGATAGGTACGGAGTGATGCCATTACCATAATCTGAATCTTCGTACACGAGAACAATTTGATGCCATTTGAAGTACTTAACTACCGCGGCAACGGCATCGGCTTGAGCATCATCACTTAGAGCGGTTTGAACGAAATAGGGAGTTTGAGGATGGAGAGAAGGACTCGTTGCCGAGAAAGAAATAATCGGCACATTTGATGCGTTTCCAAGACCAATCACAAAGTTTGCTTGTGCCGATTTTTGAGGACCAATTATTGCATCAACTTGTACATCCTTCAACAAATTGAGAGCTGCATATATCCATCCGTATGAAGTGATCGAAACAGTTAAAATTATTCCAACGTCTCAAAACGAATAAGCAACAGTATTCATGCGCATGGTGTTATAATTAATTAATTACCATCCAAATTATAAAACGATTTTTTTAAATAATGAATTATGGGACAAATGAAGATAAGCATCTAAATTCTTATCCAAAAAAAAAAAAGATAAGCATCTAAATCTTTTAATATTAAAGATGGCAAGTTCTGACACTACTCCTTGCATTAGTTTAAGGGTTAAATACAAAAACACCCCTATATTATGAACTTTGTATTATATACTCCCTGTATGACACATAAATACAAAACCCCCATGATGTTATATTTTTTCCAAAATATGACGAAAATGCCCATGTTAAGCCTAAAAATATAAGGGTTTGTTTGAGCCATTTTTCACTATATTTTTTTAATATTTTTGATAAATTTTACTTGAGAAATTTTGATATTTTGATATTTTTTCAAAACATTTAATTACTTATATGTTTTTTTTTTCTAAATAAAACCTTTTATTTTTGTCATTTTGAATTTCTTTATTTTTTTTCCTAAAGATGTTTGTAACCTTAGGATGTTTGAACTACCGGAAGACATTTAAGAAAAAAAAACATGAAGAAACTTAAAATGACAAAAAATAAAAGGTTTTATTTAGAAAATTAAAAAAATATAAGCAATTAGATGTTTTGGAGAAAAAAAATCAGCTACATACCAAAAAATTTCCCACGTAAAATTAACTGAGAATGTTAAAATATATAGTGGAAAATAACTCAAAGTATATATATATATATATGCTTGAGTAGGGGTATTTTTGTCATATTTTGAAAAAATGTAATGTGAGGGGGATTTTTGTATTTATGTGTAGTACAGGGGTATATGATACAAAGTTCATAGTACAAAGGTGTTTTTGTATTTATATTTAACCCTTAGCTTAATGCACGAAAAGCAAAAACGTAGTAAGAGATAAAGATAAATTACCACTAGCTGCAGCATCGGTGACTCGTCCATTTGAATCCCTAGTATGAAGCACAATTCTTGTCGAATAGTTTGAGTTCAACGAGTAAAAATCGGAAAGAGCCAACGACAAACTGGTCATCCCTATGCGGCCGACTAACGAATCCGCATCAAGAATGACACCAACTCGAAAGGTAGTATTTGGTTGTGCATTGCACAATGGGAGGACTAGGCTAAGTAGTGAGAGATATTTGAAGAAATGCATTTTCATGTTTGAGAATTTTGATCTACTTCCTTATTACACAATCATGCGTGTGTGTATGTATATATATGTATATAACCACAAGAAACTATAATCTTAACTGAGAAAGTTTTTATCTGCATATAGTCTTCAATTGTTAAAAGTCGTCCACTCAGGATGTTATAGCATATTGTATTAATTCCATGATGTTGATTAATTTTAAATGGTTTTATTAGTTTGAGTTCAGACACTAACTAATGTCAATACCGGAAATTAAATGTTACACTTGGTTATTTATACTGAGTAGATTTGAACCGTAAATCTACACATAAGCATACACACATTTTAAATGTTACACTTGGTTATTTATACTGAGTAGATTTGAACCGTAAATCTACACATAAGCATACACACATTGATGTGTATATCTATGCTTATAGTGGATAATTACTTAATTATATTTACAATTCAAATTCACCTATTGTAAATAACCAGATGTAGCATCTAACTTCACGTAAGAATATAGCATTATTTTTCAAAAACAAAAAGGAAAAAGAAAAAAAAAAAGAGAACAAATTAAAAGTCCTCATTTAATAGCTTGCTCTTTTATTTGGAGATTTAGATATAACGCAATACATTCGGACGTGCTGCAATAGATAACGCATAAGGCTACATAGATTATTTCTTTAAACTTGTAATTAATTAGTACAACTTGTAATTAATTAAAATTCTACATAGGATGTAGCTAGTGAATACTGAATTGTCTTTAGCTGAATGTATATATATTCAACGTGCTTGGAAGTTACATAGAAATGATTTTATTATTTCTGTCAGTTAATTAAGGTTGTTTCATATATATATATATATATATATATATATATATATATATATATATATATATATATATATATATATATATATAGGGTTAACTGCAAAAAATCCCCTAAACTTTGGACGTTTTTGCGCTTTACCCCCTGAACGGAAAAAAGTTGCACGGGCATACCTGAACTCCGGTTTTCTTAGCACCGATGTCCAAAATGTCCATTTTTGGCCAAAATTGACCGGAAGTCAAATCACGTGCCTCACACGTGACTTTAGCTGGGGTAAAATAGTATTTTTCTTTTACACCAATTTTCTTCCTTTTCTTTTTAATAATTATAAATAATTAAAAAAGGAAAAATGAAAAATGAAAGAAAGAAGAAAAGAAAAAAAAAAAAGAAAAAAAGAAATTTAAAAACCCATCATCTTCGTCCACCACACCCAAATCAGACAACCACCTACCACAACTTCTGATCCGACGCCGCACCACCACCCCTTCCGAACCAATTTCAATCCATCCCCCCATATCTGTTAGTTCGATCTCGAAAATCTGCTATTCAATCCACCCCTTCACCATCGTCATCATCATCATCCTCATCATCCTCGAATCTGAACATCGGCGGCGGCGGCGACGAAAACTGGCGGCGTAAGCTCCGCCGTCGGCTCTTGAAATCTCTCAGATCCACCTCCGTCGAAAACCTCGGAGAACCGAAAAAGAGAAACTACCACTTAGTTTTCCCCGAAGACGACGAGGATGTGAACAAGGACAAATTGAGCTGCTTGTTGGTGTTGTACATTTTCTTCGGCGGCGGCGACTGCATTAGGGTTGTACCTCTGGCTCCATTACTTGTACTCGAATTCTTCCACATCTCGATTCGATTTTGCTTGCTCTCAATTATTAACAGATCTGGTGAATTGCTGTTGTTGTTGGCCTTTTGGATCATCGGTTGATTATTGCTGTTGTTATTATTATGAGGTTGTTTGTAGGGGATGAGTTTGCCGCAGAAGATGATGTTCTCCGGCGGAAAATCGGCGGCGGCGGCGGAAGGGGTGAACTCTTGGCTGAGCTTGGTTGGGGATGATGGTGACGGGAAGAAGAAACTTATTCTTCTTTTTTTATTTTTTTATTTTTAAGCTTTATTTATATTTATTAAAAAGAAAAGGAAGAAAATTGAGTATAAAAGGAAATGACCAATTTATCCCAGCTAAAGTCACGTGTGAGGCACGTGATTTGACTTCCGGTCAATTTTGGCCAAAAATGGACATTTTGGACATCGGTGCTAAGAAAACCGGAGTTCAGGTATGCCCGTGCAACTTTTTTCCGTTCAGGGGGTAAAGCGCAAAAACGTCCAAAGTTTAGGGGATTTTTTGCAGTTAACCCATATATATATATATATATATATATATAGAGAGAGAGAGAGAGAGAGAGAGAGAGAGAGAGAGAGAGAGAGAGATTTCGGTTGAATATTTATTTCTTGAAAGTTGACACGGGGTTTGAACTCAGTCAACTGACACAACAAGATAACACAAAGTCAAATATGAAAGAACCCAATTTCAAATGTCGGGATAATTATAGAGTTTTTTTTTGTTTTTCTTTATACTTTACCACTAAAATAATTTTAATCCTCAAACTTTCTTCCTCACAAAATTTGTCTTCTAACTTACCAAACACTTTTGGTTATGTCGTTAAGTTCATGTAATTAAGTTGGACGGAATTGTCATGTGCGGCTCACATGATGTCTTTCTCACGGTTAAAAGCCGCGCTGGAGCATACCCTATTTAGCTGATTAAATGTGAGGTAGAGTGACACGTCGTTCTACCCTTCTATTTATATTATGAATTCCTTAATTTCCCATAATTCCTAATAAACCCGTAAACACTACTACTAAACTTCCTTTACGAACAATTGAGGTGAAAATTGGCAACAACAGAATCGTCCAACCCTAATTTCGCAGATTTTTTAATATTTGTGGAGTTGATACCTCACAATCGTGCAGTGATCTTTAAGGGTTTCTCCAAAGTTTTCGCTTGGGTTTATGATTTAAGGGATTACTAACTTGGTGGCTTGCGGTTTCAGAGAGAAATCTTGTGGGAATAATTTGACATTAAGTTTGCTAGGGTTTACAAAATTGAGAGGTGAAAGACAAATTGAGAATCTATATTAGAGAAATTAGGTAAGAGTGTGAGGTAGATTGTGGGTGTCCTCCACATCGACTTTGACTGCCAAATGAACGTCATGTGCCCAAACGTGACAATTCCATAAGGTTAACATGAAAATGTGACGACCGAACCAAATTTTTCAAAAAATGGTGAATTTGAGGACTAATTTCGTGGCATGGAAAGTTGACAAAACCATTTTTGTGGTAAAGTATAGTGACAAAAACTCGAATTATCCTTCAATGTCGGGTGAACAACATAAAACTCCTTGTGCTTTTTTTTATAGCGGTTGTTCGTCGGAGCTCCGACGATCCGCTATCGGAGGAAAAAAAAAGGTTGAATGTCAATTAATGTTGAAGTTAACTAGTGTTGAGTGGCTAATTCACCGGAAATCTGACGACCCGCCACTGCTCTGCCAATTTTAAAGTTAACTAATGTTAAAGGATGGGTTTATTTATAGTGAAACTTGGATTTACGGGTCTATGTCTAATTCACCCTTATTTATTACCTAGGATAATGTCTTTAGGGGTGTAAAATGCATATATAGCAAAATGAGGGGCAATTTGGTCCAAAACATTAAATGACTATACCGAGAGTGGATTTGTAAGTGCTATGTCAGCAATTTTTAATCAATTACTCCCTCCGCTCTAAATTGACTGAAGTTTTGGCAAATTTTTTTTTTTTTCCAAAAATCAATGTACAACAGCGGGTAGCATTTATAGTGGAATTAACCATTGATGTTTCCCAGATAGTCACAACATTTGTAAACCCGATACATTGACTGCATCTATGCCATATTCTGCGATGAAAATTTTGACCCTTTTTTTTTTTTATTTTTTATTTTTTTTTATTTTATCAATAGTGAAAATATGGCTTCATTTAATGAGAAATGAGAAACTTTGAGAAAGCCTATTTACAAAAAAAACGCCTCAATTTTGAAAAATTACATCCAGACCCTGCAACTATTAAAGTTCTTACATCCACCCTTAACGAAAGGGTGTTAACGAAAGAAATCTACAAATTTTAGGGGAGAATGTAATTATGAAAATATGAGGGGTTTTGTTGTAAATAGACCTTACATCAGGGGAGCGGATGTAATTTACCCATTTAAGAATAATACGAACTACTTGAATTATTTTGAAAAACAAGAAGAAAAAAATCCAAAAAATATAGAGACAAAAAAAAAGGGTTGGAGGCTCAGATCTGTAAAACAGCAGGCAGATGAGGAAGACGCCGCCATGGCTGCAAAACCCAGTTGCAAACAGACAAACATAGAGAGAGAGATTCTAGAGAGAGAGAGAGAGAGAGTTGGCATCCGGGTTTTGCCCCGCCAAGATACGGGTCAGATCCGTCACCATGCCCGACCCAACTCAAACAAACTGAATTTCATCATCACAGCCTTCGACGCAATTAGAAAGATGGGTGCAAAATGAAACCATCAACATGCATGTTTGACAAAGGGAAATTACAAAACCCCCCATGGTAAAAGTACTGATAAGATAATATACTGTTGTTTGCTGCTGATGCAGATTATACACACAGTCACACACACTGGAAATTAAATAATCCAGGTGCATGTTTGACTGTGTATTAAATCAGAAGGGTTGTTGTTGTTGTTCTTGAAATCATTGGCAAAAACAAGAGGGGCAACTACCCTTCAGAAAGAAAATTCCCAGCTCTTCGTTTGCCTCTTTGTTTGATCATGAGTTGGGATTTTTGGAAAAGATGAACCTTGCTTTGTTTCTTGGTTTAGGTGTGAATTTATAGTAGTGACTAGGGGCAATAAGGTCATTTGATAAATGAATCTTGTCAAGTCTACAGTTTTCATCCCGTAAGTTTGTAATTATTCCACATTTCGTCCTTCATGTTCACAAAAAATATATTTGGTCCTTCGTGTTTCAATAATTTAATACATTTGGTCATTTTCGCCAATTTAGAGTTAGTCCTTAAGTTAAGTTATTGATGGGCACATGCTTGATTTCGTTGGTACTAACTGAAAATTTTAATTTTTAAGGAACCAAATGTGTTTTTTTGTGAATATGGGTGACCAAATACGAAATTATTGCAAACTTAAGGGATGAAAACTTTACTTTTCCCGCAAGTACTTGTATATTTGAATAGGTTTTCTGGCAATTCATTCAAGGGGCTACGAGAGAGTATTTGTGTTATTTTTTCTAAAAAATATATTATACAAGTAGTAACATCTCTCACGCGCGACTCTTTAGGTGATGTTTGTAAGAACTTAAACAGAAGTAAGCGATTATGAGTTAAATTGAAATTAAATGTTTATTCCTAAAAGTTTGAAGTGTTTTTAAGTTAATTGAAAAACCAATTAAAATAGAAAAAAAAAAGTACATAGGTGTTTTAAAAAAAATGTGTTTTCTTACACATTTCACATTTAAGTGATTGTTGGTTTCATTAGTATTGTGGATCATTGACTATGAACAATGAAAAATGTATAGGTTATTCGCATGGTAATACTTAGATGAGTTGAGGTTAATGCATCAATCTTATCAAAAAAAAATGAGGCCCATTTTTTTGGGTTGGTAAATTTTTTATATATATTATATACAAATAATTTTCTCTTTACTATACTTAGGATCACCAGAAAATAGTGTTTATGGTTGGTATTTTGTTGTTGGAGTTGACTAATTTCACTATTTACAGGGTCGCATTTGCCATGCAATATACATCAATTGTAAAATTTAACATGTATAATATTTGAAAAAAAGAAAAAGAAGATATGTTAGAACTTGTCAAAGAACATTCCGTATCAATTTAAGCATATCTTCCTCAAAACGGTTACATTTGGTAACAATATTTATCCAACTTTAGAGTGATAGATTTTCATAAGAACGTTTTTTATGCAGTATTAAAAAAAATAAAAATTGTTCGATTGCTTGTTCGTACGAATGAAGAACCGGGAGAACGATGTTCTTCCGTACGACATGATCGAAATTATTCTCCTTCAACTGCCCGTAAAATCTCTCCTGAGGTTTAAGAGCGTCTCCAAATCATGGGAGGCCACAATCTCCGACCGCAAATTCGCTGCAAATCATCTCCGACAATCAAAGAAGAAGAATGACTCGTTCGACGACGGCCAAGATGATCTACTTTTGTGGGTCGGAAAAAGTAGCATGGATTTCCTCGTTTTTAATCTCGATCCGTCTAAGAATTGTCGGTGGGAGATGAAATCTTTGAGTGTGTTGTGCTATTGCGACGGTTTAGTACTATTGCACCGGCATCTTCCGTACGATGGGTCCATTTACAGGCTGTGGAATCCGTCGAGCAAATCTGAGGTAAATATCTCATGCGACCCTCGAATTCATAGGGGCGGTGGTCATGATTATGCTGACGTGGCTCAGGGGCTTTACTACGATCAATCGGTTGAGGATTACAAGATTGTAGTTACCGACATGAAAAATCGATACTCGATTTATCGGATGAGGAAAAAATTGTGGTCCGACGAGATGAAAGAGATGGAGATCGATATTCCGGGCGAAGTGGTATGGTGCGATAAGGGGTCATCTTTCGAAGGTGATACGTATTGGGTTGTGAGAACTCGCGCGTCGGGAAAAGAAGAGAGTTTTTTGGTTTGTTTTGATTCTAAACGAGAAAAGTTCGAAAAGTGGGGTATGCCGATTGGTGATAACGACGATTGCAAGTTTTATCTGACTTATTTGGGAAGTCGTTTGTGTTTGGCCTATTCCAAGACTAAGATGAACCAATTATGGTTTGTGAAACGAGTCGCTGGCGGCGGCAGTGGTAGTGGTGGTTCGTGGGTAGAGTTTGAGGAGGCTATGCCATTATCAAGGAATTATATCAAGCCTCTACGTTTGACAAACGATAAGGAGATAGCACGTGAAGATGGTTGGAGGAAATCGTATACAATGTACAAGTACAATGTCGTTACGAAGACTTGTGCGGAAATTCATGTGACGACGACTCCAAATGGTGGCTATCCTCAGTCACCCTTGTATCTTGAAAATATGTTTTTCAGCAGCACGAAGAGCAACGACGACGTGGAAGAATCTACAAATTAATTTGCATTTCGTTCGATTTATCTAGTTAGGAATATGTTCGCCTTTCACGAGACTTTATCTAGTTAGGATTGTGTTTGGTGCAACAATGGACAAAGCTAATAAATTTCATGTTAAGACAAAAATTATGCAAACTCACAATCGAGACCGTTATCGCAAACTCACAACACCGTATAAACCAAACCGATAGAGATGCTTTGGATTAAAAAAAAAAAAAAGTCCAAGAAAATTAAAATTAAAAAAAATTAATTTCTACTTGATAGTAACACTCGACACTTAACTCTATTTGATGAAAATATTAAACAGCTAGACGAAGAAATAAAAATGAAAAATATTAAAAAGCGGAACGAATAACCCGACCGTGGTTAAGGTTTCAAAAAAAACTTACTTCACAAGAGAGAGCTGAAACTAACATGAGATTTTTACAGAAAAAAGCATCAGCAATAGCCAGTAACAAATTTTATCTGTTCAGCACCATTTATGAGATGTGATTCCTCCGAAAACGTTTTGGGCAATTCGTCGAGCACGTTTATCTGTTCAGCACCATTTATGAAACTAACATGAGATTTTTTTTTAAAGTAAGTCAGTTACATTTATTTAATCTTTAAAGTTGAACTTTTAAAATTATTAATATAAAATATTGATATCAAAATTAAATTCGAATTTTCATATTATTTATATATTCTTTTGACATATAAATTATATAAATATATTACAGTTTTGACATTATAAATATATATAGTTTAACAAAATAAAAATAAAAAAATTAATGCATTGATAAATTAAAATTTTATCCAAAATTTTATTTAGTTTCAATTTTGATGCAAATGTATTTTTTGTTAAACAAATGGAATTAAATTTTGGAAATTCAGATTGGAAAAAAAATGTTCTAATAATTTAAAATTTTGAATTAGAAACGGCAAAATTAAAAAGACTTGTTAGAAATTTTGTTCTTACCATTACCTCCACGAGTCTGCTCAGAACCAGTCGATTCCTAAGTCTTTAATTTTTCATATTACAATTGAATATAAATGTAAAAAAATAAGGGTTAATGAAAAAGAGGCCATCACAAGGCCACTTAATTAAAAAGACGACCTTCAACTTTTTTGTCTTTTAAATATTTCCAGTTCATTCAAACTTATTTGTAAAAAAAAAAAAATGGGGCAAATACTGATAAATCCCTAAACCTAAACATAAAGTGCGGGTCAGTCCCCAACAACATTTTTTTAGCGTATTGGACCCTAAATCAAACATAAATATGTACTTAACTCCCTAACTGGTGTGCAAAGACCGAAAAACCCTTCACTTTATTTTGAAATTACCTGCAAATTCTGACAAAACTTTTCACCTACTTTTTCACGCGCCGGTTGAGAATCACGCTCCATACCTTTTTAATTATCCGTTGTCATTCAATTTTCGAACCATTTCCTCAGCGGTTTCTAGCAGTTTTTCTTCGTGCAAGAGATTCTTCAGGTTTTTCGGTTTTTGTTTCTTGTATAAATAACCACAACAAGGCGGAAAGTAGACAGGAAACTAAAGTAATAATTTTCGAAGTAGAAGAATGGTGAAGACTAAGAAGGGGAAGGAGAAGCAAGGTTTTTTTTCTTTTTTTTTTTTCAGGAATCGATTATGAAATTTGTTGTTGTTTTTTTGCTTAGGTTAGCAAAAAACAAACTGCATGTTCTCATATTGAATGATTTTGAACATTTCCAGTAGTGGGTAGTATCCAACGGCGAGATTGGGGTTTTCTCAAATAAAAAAATCGAAGAACTGGTTCCAATAAAATGTTGTTTTCTTGTTTATGCTTGCAAAAATTGTTCATTTTCTGTTGAATTGCATGATTTTGAACACTTTCACTCTTGGGTATCATTCGTCTGAAATATTAGTATTTCCCCAAATCACTTTTGGTCATAACAAGGGTTTGATTTTGGGCATTAGATGTGTTTAAATAATATAAGTCTTACTACACAACGGTAGTGCTATTGTAGTTAGAAGGTATAAAAAAAGGTAATGGCATTTCTTCTGATGTAATTAAATAGTATATGTAGTATTGCCTAATAGTATAGTTAATGTAGGTGTATGGTATTGATACAATATAGTAAAGGTATAATTACAATAACAACATAGTACCATTATTATCTTACAATTGTATTTTTTCTGATTATTGTTTTTCCTTTATAATCGTAATACACTTGCAGATGATGACGCCCAACAAGCTTGCAGGTGCTCTCCTAGCGTCTTCAAAGAACAAATGGACATAATTAAACCAATGATGACGGCCAGACATTTTGCTGCCTTGGAGGAAAATCCTTTCGGACATTTCTTAAACATGCCTAAGATATACCATAGTTTCTTAAAGGTGTCTGTTCTGTTAGAGTAGGTGACCAACAAGCCAACATGTGGCTGTGGTCTTTCGTATTTATTATTGTAATAAACGAACATTTATTCGTATTAATGATAAAACACCTTGGCATTCTATATCTTTGTCCCTTTGTCACAAGCATAGATATAGTCCTTACAGTTATTACAAGTACTAGTAATTGATCGTTAGGATCGTGAGATATTTACTCAAGTATTATAACTGTTAAACGTGTTCCTAGTCGAAGGGTTACGCCATTAATGAGGATATCGGCCTTTCCCATTAAGACTAGCACTTAGTGTATGTGTACTGCATCTCATCAGTAAACGGTATTGTGATATCGGCATGCATAAGTGGGTGCTCGTAAGTTGACGAGTTCACTGAACTCCCTCACCCTAGAAATCTCTAAGTGGTTCCCAATAATCGAGTAGAGATATCTATGGTATAGTTGTACACCATTAGTCCTTATGACCTAGACATCACCGTGACTTCACTAGAGGACCAGCTGTATCGTGACCTGTCCCTGAGTTCCACCGAGGACCATCCTAAGGGCCAGTGTTCGTGCAGTCCGAAATCTAGTGGGAGGTCTGTGCATTGTAGTCGGGGATTCGATCGCTAGAATAGTCTTGGATGTCCTGTGTGTTCTGAAAGTTTGTAATCATTCTAAGTCTCTGGCCAGAGCTGACTAAGTGATGATTAGAGAATTCGATTCTCTAAGTCATGCACGTGACGATTACAACACTTGGAACGATCGCACCGTCATCGAACATATAAAGAGGTCTCGATGAACCAATGCCTCTAGTTCGATCGGGACATATGAATCGAAGGGACCGTACTGTACGTTAACTATATCTGAAGGTTCTTGCAGGCACTTCATTTGTATCTAGGGAATCATGACGCGTAGTTGCTAGACGCCCATCTTGATTCGTTGGGTGATTAAGGTGAAACGAGCTTCATCTTAATCGTAACTCTAAGGGACGAGTTTTGACCACAAAGAGTTGTGGGCCCACGGCTAGCTTACACCTGAACCATCGAGGGTCACACTGCTCGTGCACATGAGATCTTTGAATAAACGGTCAGAGATAAAGTAAGTTTATCTTTGCATAATTGGAAGTCAATATGATTGGATCCAACATTCATAATTTGGAATTATGAATGAGAATAAGAAAAGGAAAAGAATAGGCGAACGTGTTAGTGAACTTTCTAAATCGGGAAGTTTCCAAATTTAGAAAGTGCACTGAACTAGGGTTTCCACTTTTGGAAAGTTGGAAAATGAGAAATGGCACTCGTAATGACGAGGAAATTATAATGATTCCGAAAATGTAATCGTTGCAATTTTTCGGTCATTGAATTAAGAGAGACGAGCAATTAAAAGTACTAACGCACTTAAGCTGTTGGGCCCGGTCCAACTTAAGCCCGCTAGGGTTTTATGCAAGACATATAAATACTTGATTTATAGGTCTTGCACAACACACAACAAAAAACCCTAACCCTAGCCGTCCACCTCTCTCTCTCGGCATCTCTCTCCCGCGGCCACCACCGCCGTCCTCCCCGCCGTTTCGCCGGAATCGGCCGTTCATCGGCCGATCATCTTGGTAGCTTCTTTCCTTCTCTTTTTCTTCCGTTTTTCTAACTATTACGTGTCTAGTGCCACGTGTTTAGTAGATCGAAGTATACGAGGTGAAATCCGAGAGGAGGAAGATCGAGGAATCGAGAAGCAGCGCACGAGCTGAAGCCGCACGCTACCCCACGCGCCGCCCCGGAAGACCGCGCGTGAGACTCACGCGCCGCCGTGGCCGATCTGCCGCTGTTGCCGCTGTACTGCTGCTGCCCCGATTGTACGGATTGGTTTCCGTAGCAATCTCGACTTGCTAAACGCTCCTACCTCACGCTTCAAGAGGTAAACACGCGAATCCCTTGTTTCGATTCGTTTACGTTTAAACTATGTATTCATGTATGTTATCGTATGATTTTATGTGATTATATGTAATCAATTTAATCGTTGCAAGCATGATAGTTGGTTTAAACGCGAGCATGTTAATTGATTTAAATTCGGTTAAATTATTTAGCATGTATGTTGTTTTTAATTTCGCTGGAAGCGCAAAGGTACGCAATTAATTGATTTTAATTTGTCGGGCATGTGCTTGTGTGCTTTAAAGTCGTTTAAATCGCATTAAATTTTTGTTTTCCGCTGCGTACACGTGCCCGAAACCCAACATGTTCTGTTGAAGAAGACATACAACGTGGAGGAACGTACGTTCTGGTTTGGAGGTAAAACTATCCCTGTCGTATTTGATCCTAGGGAGTTCTGCATCATCATGGGATTACAGGTTAAGGGGGTACCCATCGATAAAAGCCTGGAAATAGAAACTCCTTTCATTAGACGTGTTTTTGGGGGTAAAATGACCCAAGTAAAGCGTCATCAAATTGCTGAAAATTTGGAAGAGTATGCTGTTAGGACCGACCAACAATCAATTGAGGATTTTTGTAGGTTGTACATTATTTTCTCTTGCAATACTTTCCTATTGCCAAAAGGGCAACTTTCAACTGCCGAGGTACGTTTATCCACACGTTGACAAATTGGAGCGCGTAGGACATTTTGCGTGGGGAAAGTTGGTGTATGATGTGCTCATTGAAAATATTG